GTTTGTACCCCTGCAGCCTGTGTCCCCTTCTCCTCTGCCTGGCCCCCTGCAGCCTCTTGCCCCCACCCCACAAAATTTGAGGAGGTTGTTTTGTTTCACTTTTTAAAAACGTTGGGTGATTACGGTTTCCAAGAGGACCTTCCAGATGAGGACCAGTTTGTTCTTGATATAATGACACAGTGCCTTCTCTCTGAATCTGCCAAAAAAAACTACATGTAGTTGATGTGCATGTCTGATATTTTATAGCTTTGGAAAGGAAGAATGAACTGAGATTAGCAGCATGATTGCTATTCTATCCCTATGGCAGCAATAAAACTATCAGATATGATAGTTTGCTTGTTGGGGGCTGAGTTTCTTATGGGAGAACAGATAAGGAGAGGTAGAATGTTGGTCAGGTTCTTTTTTTCTAGTGGCCAGAATAGTCTTGGAGGAGGACAGGCTATCAAATATTTCTTCGACCTCTTTCTCACTAGGCAGGAAATTGTGGGGGACTGAGATATGAAAGAAAATTTCTTCTCCCTTTCCAGAACTAGAGAAGAATGGGACTTCAAATGTATCTGATGCTTATTATCCAGGAGTTGGTACATGAAACTACCAGCACTACCCTACCTCCCCTTTACCTGCAATTAAGATCCCAGTTGGGCAAGGTTTCTTACCTTGATTTTGCAGTGGGCCACACTTGGTTCAGTTTGTATAAATATTCCTCCTACCTCTAGAAGACAGCTGATAAATTAAAGATCTAATGGGGATAATGAAATTCAACTACATTACAAAATTTCTGGAGGCATTTAAATGTAAATAAAGCCCTCGTAAGGTCCTTTTGAGTCTAGATTGTCATTTTCAACCTTGTTAGACTCAAGGCACCCCTTGGAAAATGCCAGACCTTAGTTTTCACTTTGTTTTTGACTACAGAAATTTAATATAGTACTTCTGTGGCAGAGAACTAAGACAGACCACAAAAGTCGGAATGTTTTTAATGCTATGGACTCCTATTTGAAATCTCTGGGTTTTTGTGAATTGTGTATGCAAACCTAACAATACTAATTTTGTATAGGACCCTGGGCACCCTTGAAAGGATCCCAGAGCCACGGCACCCTGGTTGAGAATCACTGGTTCAAAGTATATGTGTATGGTGGTATATTGTCAGCTGAATTAAGTAGCTGGAAAAGAAGCTAACCAACTAAAAGCATAAATGCATACCTCTTTCATGGTGACTAATTATTGCCATGCTTTTGATTATAGTTGGGTTTATCAGATAGCTCTGTTTTACACTGAATGGCACAATTTGTGTTGCCGTGCAGTGTCTGCAGTTCTAGACTATCTAGGTTAACGTTGATACGGAATGGTGTTACCTAAAGGGATGTCTGTGTGACATGAGGTTTTGCAGAGAGAGCAGGTTGTTGGATAAGACGACCTGGAACCCAGCCTTCATAAACAATTCACTAAATATTAGCACATCAGGGAGCTCTCTTGTCACAGGGTTAGCAACATTAAACCAATTTTTGATGCAGTGTTTGTAAAATGCATCCAATAGAACATTGGGGTGAATACAGAAGATTTGATGTAGGGAGTTATTTTGCAAACAAAAGATGTGTGCATATTTATACAGTACTGTCAAAAGTAGAAATATTGAAATAATTTTCTTTATTGTCACTCTTAATTTAAAAAAAGCCAAAACTGAATTAGGAACTAAATTTCCAATGTCCTGAATTCCTGAAATGGTGTTAAATAGTGGCTTATTGGTGTGAAGCTTGGTTGATATGAAGCTGTTTGATATGAAGCTTGGTTCTCTGACCTTGTAAATAATTTAATTCTTTAAGCAACCGGTGCCCTCCGTGATACCTTTGAAGTTCTTTGTTGATACTCCTGTTATTTGTTAAATTTTATTTAACATTTATTGGTTTTAAATGTGTTGATTTTTTGTGAATGTATTTCTTGCAGTTTACTACTTCTTTGGTTTTGGGGTTTTTTTATGTTTGTTTGTTTTCTAAACTGAAACCTTCAAAAAAACAGTTGTGGAAAATTCTTATTACGAATAAAGTATTGTCTCTCATGTGGATATTTTAGATGCTCCATCCCCAACTTGGGAACAACTGGAAAATGGACTAGTTGCAGTAAGGACTGTGGTACATGGACTAGTTGATTACATCCAGAATCACAGCAAGAAAGGAACGGATCAGCAACAGGTAAAGACTGTTTCTATTTGTATGTCATATCTGGCAACTTGGGTTCAAATGCATGTTGTTAAAACACCTTTGGAAGTCCCTAGTGAACCTTAACCATACTAGGAAATTTGTCACACCACTTTACACAGCATATCAGTTTGAAAAGAGAAGAAAACAATCTACCTGAAGGGAAATTAGCAGGGATCCTGGTTTTCTCTGTTTTCAAAATGACAAATTCTCTGATTAAAACCTCCCAAATCTGTGATTTAAAATGGAACACCACCCATGCCTCAATCACTATAATAAAATAAATTTTGAGTACCTATAACTTCTGGTATTTAATTTTAGGTTTATCATGGAAAATCAGAGCTTCCTCTGTCCCCTTTGCTCACCAAGATGCAGGGTCAGGCCCCTCACTCCCCACCCACAGCCCCCCAGCCCTGTGCGGTGCTGCCATTGCAAGCTCCACAGTACCATAGTGAAGTGCCCCCTGCCTGCATGGCAGCAACGAGGGGTTCAACTCTGCACCATCACCCTCACTGCTGCTGGGTGGGCAGGGGGTGCTTCACCAGGGTCTTGTGGGGCTTGCAGCGGCAAAGAGCATCCCCTCCTGGCCACTCTCTGCCCTGCCGCACTGGGTCCAACCCACTAAGAGGCCCCGGGGGGGGGAGGGCAGCAGGGCAGGGAGCCAGAGCTTGCAGCAGACAGCCCACCCCCTACCCTGCACACGGATTTGGTGGGGCATCTGCCTGACTGGGAGTGCACGCAGCAGTGGGGAGCCAGCCCCACTCGTCCTTTCCCCCTTTCTGGACCAGCTGCCTGCGGCTCCATCCTGTTCCCCCACCAGGGCCCAGCAGTCACGCATTCCGGCCCTGGGCCCCAGCCCTGCCCATCTCCGAGCCCCTCTACCAGAGTTACCTGCGGGAGCTGCTTTCCAGGCTGCCTGGCGGCCGTGCATGTGTGAGCACGCATATGCACATGGGGACCCTGCCTCACCTCCTTCCGCTCCCCCCAGCCCTTTGCAGGCTGCAACTCTGCTACCCTGCAGAGAGCTCTTTGCAAAAGTGGAAAGTCCATATGCTTCTCTGTTAAAATGAAAAATCCACATTTTTCTCAGTTAAAACGGAAATCTGCATTCCCCCCCCCCCCCGTTTTCCCACAGGAAACGGAAAACCCGGATCCCTGGAAATTGGTACGCTAGTCCCCAAAAAGAGCCTAGGTGGTTTTGTGTAGTGGTATGTTTTTTAGGTTGGTTTGGTTTTAAAGCATGTTTCAGCTTAGTGATGACTTCATTTAGTGAAAAAAGTATTCCCTGTATTTGTTTGTAATGATTCTCTGAAGTTTAAGCATTTGCAGAATTTTAGATGAAAAGAGGTGTTATAAATTCCTAGGGTGAATATCTTTCAAATTACCAGGTAAGATATAACTCAACTGTAACTTTAGCTAATAATCACATAATTTACACAGTCTAGTCTCTTGAAAGCAAAGAGGATCAAAATTTGCTTTGGAAATGGGATTTGCCATAGTATAGTGCACAAATGGGGTGAAAAACCACAACCTTCTACCTCCAAAGTAAAACAGATAAAAACAGAAGAGAGCTCTGTTTATCCATCTTTTATAAAAAATATCCTTCTGATTCTTTGTTTCAGTTGGCCAGTAGAGAGCAATCTGCTCTCATAGCCTAGTTTTGTTCTCTCTGATGTAACTGGTTTAAAAAAAAAAAAATCTTAGAAAACAAGCCGACACCTCCCCCACACCACTTTGTCCTAAACATGAGCAGGATTGGGTCCTGAGCTATCCACAGATAATAACTAACGTTGTCTAACTACAAGCCTATTATGCAGATACAAACAACGCTGGAAAGTTCAGGGAGATCTAACTATGTAGCAAGTTCAGAAGGGTAATAAGTCATTGTGAACTAACAGGAGAACGAAGAAAAGTGTAATAATTGGCAGAATTATAATCTGTAACTCAAGCAGTTTGAACTTCTGCAGATTTTGCAGAACATTTATTCTTTTTTGCTTTCTCAGTAAATAGGCAATTTTTAGGCAAAACCAGATTACCAAGCATTATGCTAACTTAAGTGGATAGTTATTTAGTGAGGCATAACGTAGACTTACCTTTACTTGTCACTGAACCACAGCCTGTTCCCTTTAGGGGTATGCGAAGCTTCAGTCACTAATTCGATTCAGCCCAGTTCGGCGGCTGAATCTCCAAATCCGAATCAAATCAGGAGACCCTTTAATCCTCTCTGAATCAAATCAAATTGGAACCCTCCAAATTGATTTGGAGAGATTTGATGGTTTGGACATAGACACAACTTTAAACGTTTTTTCTACATGCCTCAAGGTACCAGGTGGCTTGTGAATGCTGAGATGCTGGGGCACATGAAGTGTCCCACAGGAGCATTGTGGGGGGGGTCCCCAATGCGCTTGGTGGCAGACCCAGAAGTGGACTAGAAGCACTTCCAGTCCACTTCTGGGTCCACTGCAGAGCTCCAGACTTCCGGTCCACTTCCCGGTCCCCCTGGCTCGGAGACTATTGCCTCCTCGGTTGGAAGTACCCGATCAAAGTACTTCTGGCCCACTTCTCGGTCCATGTGGGGGACACCTCCCCCCCCCGCCCCTGCTCCAGTGGGACACTCCATCCACCCCACCATCTCAGCATTCACGAGTCATGCCTGGTACCTCAAGGTATGCAGATAAAACATTTACAGCTGTATCTACGGCCAGATCGTTGATTCTCTGAATCGGCATCGAATTTTCAGATTCGGATTTGGCCAGATCGAATCGGGACAGTGATCTGAATCAACAAATAGAATAGCTGTCCCCCAATTCGGACCAGATCCAAATAGAATACAGCCCATTTCACACACCCCTAGTTCCCATCTAAGCTTAGTAAGAAGTTATACTATATATAGCAGCAGCTGGCAAAATACAGCCCGCAGGCTGCATCCAGCCCTCCAAGTGATTTTCATCTGGTCCATGGATATCCACCAATTAATTGTACCTAGCTCAGCCTACACACTTTGCTCCTACCCTACTGCGTGGGAGGGCCCCGGTCCTGGCCAGCATGCACAGCTTCTGGGCATGGCTGCTGCTGCCACTGCTGGAGCTGCCATATCTGCTTGGCTTCCCCGGCCCCCCGCGGCTCCCCCCGCTGCAGCGCTCATTCTAGGCAGCACGTAGGGAAGCGGCACTGGCAGGGAAAAACTGCAGCTGAGCAAGAGCACGGGGCTGGGGCTGGTGGGAGTGTGGAGCCTGGGGCCCGCACCCAGCAGGGTGGCAGGAGCCCAGAGCTCAGATGGACAGGGTGTAGGTATGGGGGCAGGGGAACCCCATGGCACACAGCCCTTGCCACCAGCAGCAGCAAGCAGCTGGCCCTTGGGGTGCTCCCTTGGCGGCAGGGGTGTGTGCCATTGGGAGGGGTGTGTGAGAGGGTCCCCACATCCTGTCCACCCTCCCTCACACCCCACAAACCCCAGATAGCCACACACTGGCCACATACCCCCCCCCCCCCCAACCCCCCCCCCCCCGCCTACACCCCAACCCCCCC